GAAATATTCCAGCTTCAAGCCAGATAAAAAAATTTGCTTTGTTCTTTTCAGCACACAGGAATCAAGGAATTAAAAGAAGGGCACTGAAAAATCATGGCATTTATATCTCTGTACCCCACTGCCTTCCACATATAGCCAGGACTTTAAACTAAGACACAAATTCCCCCTCACTTACAGGCTGATTTGTCACTAGGTACAAATCGGAATTCTGCAATCGGTTCAATATCGTCATCACTGTCGTCGTCCTCCTCCTCCCCTTCAGCCATGGGAGCCTCTTTTGTTTCCTCTTTAGGACATTGAAATATTTAAGAGAAATGCATTTATTTAGTTGAAAAAAAAATAGAAAAAGAAAGAAGTCACATTTGTTTATTCTTTCAGGAACACACGTGTAATCAAATCAGAAACCTGGACACAACCTGACAGAGGCACAAAAAACCCCACCCTGTTCTCCCAGAAAACCCCATGAGATTCCAGGACTCACATGGACATATGAGGTCCTCTCACAGCACCTTGACAGCACTTGCAACGCACACAAAAACTTCTCTATTTATAATTTTATGACTTGAGATTTCTGTAATGGTCACACAATGTATTCATGCACCTGAGGAAAATTGCCTGATCCTTATTAAAAACAACTGTGCTCATCCCCTGCCCCTAATTCACAGTTGTTGCCATTTACTTGCATAACACTACATGACTTTTTTTAAATCACATGAATTTTACAGATCCTTAACATTACTGTCATGAAATCAGCCACCTTCCAGTGTGGCCCTTCACAGGGGACTCTGACATTTACAGAGGATCTCTACTCCATTTCCAGTATTCCTAGCTGGCCAGCGAGATGTCAGAGGTAGAAAGTGCACCCAGAGCCAGTGACAACTGCGGGCAAGACGGCGCTTCCTGGCTTCTCTGCATGAATAAATAAGCAACAACATGGTGTTTTACTTTCTGTGAATATAAAAACCACAGAGATGGCTGCAGTTCGTCACTTTGTGGCTGGGGACACTGCACTGACAGCCTCAAAAGCGCATAACTATTTTCTACAGAAGAAGAGGCTGTTCCACTGAGAGTGGCTTTTATCACATACAAAACTGGCACCACCAAAAATATGAAGATGCCAAGAAGCTGCCAGCCAGCTGCCCCCAAAAATGTAGTGTGCAAAGGAAGCTACCCAATCCTTTTCCGACTGACACCCGCAGGCACAGCTTGTTACTGTTGAGTCCAGCTCTTTGTTTTCAATGGAGTCAACCTCTGAGTGCCTTTTTCTAAAAAAGGGGTGAGGACAAGGCACACACTCATAGAGAGCACAACAAAAACTTTCAGAGAAGAACAAAATGTTCTCTGCTCAACTGAGAATGAAGACTCCTGCAGCCAAGAAAGCAGAAAGGTTTGGGTTTAACACTGTTCAGCAGTTAAAACTGCAGACCAGGGCTAGACTTGAAAACTAAAATCTACTTGCTTTAGAAGATTTACTGTAGGCAGAGTACATATATATAAAAGAAAATTTACACACACAGAAGAAATACCACAAAAATCAGTCTATTAATGATTTCTAGATAAGAATTAACACATGATATCTGTATTTTTAAACACCATGATCAGAACTAATTAAAAGCTAGAAACAGTATCTTTCTTCAGACGAGGCTCAGTTTACTTCAAAATAACCCATTAAAGGAAAATGAGGAAGAAGAACCAAGAGGAGGATGCATGTTCTCTTGTTATTTGTAGTGATAGACTGTCAGAGATTATTAGTAACTTGAGAGAAGGAAATAATGAAGAGCATTAATAGCTTAGAAACGGCTCTGCCTCCTCAGAGTCTTGTCATTACTTTCTGGATACACTAAAAAAAAAAATTAAATGCCAGATTTTAACCTTTAACTATTATGACCAGTAGGCATGAAGGGGAAAGAAGACCTGCCCAACACTTAACACCCATTACTCTTCAATTGAGATGGCAGTTTATGACACACTTAAAATATTAACAGGTCTACCATAAGAAAAAAGATTAATACATCAAAAAACCCCCAATGAAACAGAAAGTTTGTTTTCTCGATATCAAAGCAAGAACAGCCCAAAAGGTGGGTTTTGTGGGCAATCTACAAAGATCCATTAAAGCCTGGTCACATGACCTATTGTCTTTTTTTGTTTTCAAGTAAGCTGTGGGAGAAAATTAATGAAAATTTCCAGGCTGCTGTGAAACAGCAGGAATCCATAAAGCCTGGAGAGGGCAGCAACATTAACATAAATTCAATAAAGAAAAAATTATACCCAAGCTGGAATCACAGGGAGACTGCAGAGGAACTAAATTGTTTAAAACAGTGTAACAGAGCAGCGAACTGATTCTAAGCATCTCCAGCTGTACACAGTCACATGCTGAGAGCAGAACTGTACAGAAGCATCTCCAGAAGAGTGCAAAGCTGTACTTTTAAGATAACTATACTTCGTAAAAATGAAAAAGAAAAGACAAGCTATTACTCAAATGAAGCATATAATTTTTAAAACCAACATTTACTCTTTTTGAAGAAGAAATCATGTCACTCAGGACAGTGTGGGAGCATCAAGGAACACTCTGGGCATACCTTCAAATTTGGCGTTCACCATGACATACAAGTGCTCCCTTGGGAAGGCGCTCAGGTCCCTGGAGACGGCATGTAAGCTTATGGTGGGATAATCCAAGGAGAAGCCAACTCCAGAGTTTTCCAGCCAAGACAGGCGACTAACAAGGAAGGTGGAGGGGGGGAAGAGACAAGTTACAAACTAACAGTGGTATCCACAGTACCTGACTCAAGCCTGCAGAAAAGCAAAACAACCCCAAAAGAGTAATTCTGGACAAGGCACTCTCCAGGCATGCATGGACCTGGACCTGCCCAAACAGGACTTTGCAATGGCATTAACTGTTGGCTGAGGTAAAAGAAACCTCTTCTCAAAGAATGTGAAGCTGAGCACCCCAAACACATCGCAGCTTTATCACATTTGTACTGAATGCTGAATTTCTCTCCTTACCTCTTCATTTGCTTCTCCCTGTAGATACCTATCATTCCAAAGATAACTACAGTGGTTCCAGAGTGTGATTTATAACTCAAACTATGCAATGTGGTTTTTCAAGACAAGGAGAACACTGAAAGGAAAGTCAATTCTAGAGAATTATAGATCTGATGTGAGTATAGCCTGGATGTATAAAAACAAACAGTTCTGTGATCAGCAGAGCTAACAAAGCCAGGTTATGGGTATTCCATCCCTTGCAACTTATCTGTATAACATCTGCTTCCCCCCATTTTCACTCTCATCCCTAACTAACCACAGCAAGAGACAGCACAGGCTGTCACCACTGGGCGCTGCCTCCTTCATATCAGAATGATCAACATCTTTCTAAGCCAATGAGAAATCACACTCAAGCTAGTTTTGGGTGTCTGCGATCAATGAGGTCACACAGTGAACAGAAATATCGATGGGCAGAAAGCGAGACCTCCACCACATGCAAAACCCAGCATTCATAAGCTTTTGTGGAGGGACAGAACCAATGGAAAGGTCACAGAAGACTCCGTGCCTTGGAAAATTTGGCTGAGAGCAAGAACTAGTGCAGTGGGAGCAAAGAATTTCTTTCCTAGCCGCAATTGGGCAGTCCTCAATGTTTAAAGCTGCTGACAGAGAATTAGCACACGGATCCAGAACCACGCTGTCCTCCTGGGTGCCCAGTTCTCCCACGGCATTCCTGCAAACACTGGCATTTTCTATTCATTATCAGCAAGTGACTATGGTAAAACCTCTGCAACATGCTCCAAACATGTTGAGAGGAAGGTGAAAGCCTTGTATTGTGCCTCACACAAAAATCTATTGAAAGCAAGTTACAAGGAAACTCAGCATTACACCTCTTGAGACCTGATGCTCCACGAACAAAAGCTCCAGTATCTGTGATCAAACTAAACAAAACAGTAAACAAAATTCCAAAGAGATTCTTCTCCAACACAACACCACTAACAAGCTCAGGTGGGGTAAAATATTGACCGTTTTATAAATGTTTCCTAGTCCAAAGGTTTTAAAAGACAATTCACTCCTCCATGCACAATCTAAATGACATTTTTGTTCTAACAATGCTCTTCTAGTGCAGAATACATTACGAGTATTTTCCATGGTCAAAGAAAATTATGTTAGTTTAATCATTAAGCTGTCTTCTTGAGCTATACAATGCAGAGAGGATTTAAAGGAGACTGTAAAGAGCTCAGATAACATCTTCCAGAATAACCAGACTGATTTCTGCCTAGTAAGAACATAGTCTCCACGTGATTAATGCAACATGAAAGAACCACAATAGCTAATAACAGCAGAAACCCAACAGCCCCATCCACTTCCCTGTGTTTTTCATAATAGAATGGTTTGGGTTGAAAAGGACCTTCATGATCATCTAGTCCCAAGCCCCTGCCATGGGCAGGGACACCTTCCACTAGACCAGCTTGCTCCTAGCCCCATCCAGCCTGGCCCTGAATGCACCACCAGTCGGGCTCCCTTGCCGCGCTGTTCCCTCTTGCCTTGTTTAAAACACCGTTTCGAGCAGGAACAGCGGGACACTCACACCGATGCCCCTCACAGCCCCCCCCCTCGAGGGCCTCCTCCACATCCTTATCCAAATCACCCACATCCCCCTTCGGGCAGGTCCCCTCAGAGGTGACCCCACAGGCCCCTCAGGGTTGAGAGCCTCTCAGGGAAGGCTCCCACCCGCCGGCCCCCTCAGGATACCCCGCAGCCCCCTGAGGACGCCCTCAGGGGCAGCCCCTCACAGCACGGCCCTCCGAGGGGTCCCCAGCGCCGTGTGTTCCCCCGTACCTCTCGGCGATGTAGAGGGTGCCGGCGCCCAGGCTGCGCCCCGCCAGCAGCGCCTCCGTGTCCGGCTGCTGGTGCCGAACGCCATCGGCCGGCGGCGGGAACCGCTTGAGGAAACTCATGGCGCCGCCACCGCCTCCCTGCTCCACCATCGCCGCCGCCGGAACAGGAACCGCGCTGCTCTATGATGCAATTCCCCCTCACAGTCATCGTGGATCCGCGGGGGAGGTGTCGGGTTGTCACCTCACAACCAGGGTGTTCCTTACGGTCGGACGTATGTACGTCCGGAGCGATGCGGGCTGTGTTCCAGGAGTGTCTCTGGCAGTTTTGGAGTGAAGTTTTCATGTTCTGGAAAAGAGAAGCAAAGGGGAGGCGCTGAGGTGATCGTTAAGGGCCAGAGCACCTCTGCCGTGGAGACGGGCTGAGAGAGTTGGGTTTGTCCAGCCTGGAGGAAAGAAGGCTCCAAGGACATCTTAGAGCCCCTTCCAGTATCTAAAGGGCTACAAGACAGATGGAGAGGGACTTTTGAGAAGGCATGGAGTGACAGGACAAGGGGTAATGGCTTTAAACTGTCAGAGGGCAGGGTGAGATTAGATATTAGGAAGAAATTCTTCACTGTGAGATTGGTGAGGCACTGGAATAGGTTGCCCAGAGAAGTTGTGGATGCCCCATCCCTGGAACTGTTCAAGGCCAGGCTGGAGGAAGGGGATTTGAGCAACCTGATCTAGTGAAAGGTGTCCCTGCCCATGGCATGGGGGTTGGAATGAGATGATCTGGAAGGTCCCTTTCAACCCAAGCCATTCCATGATTCTACAATTCTATAGTTGACAGTACTGGCTCCAGTCCTAAAATCATAGAATATCCTAAGTTCGAAGAGACCCACAAGGTCAAGTTAAGCTCCTGGCCATGCACAGGACAACCCAAAGAATCACACCATGTGTCTGACAGCATTGTACAAACACTTACTGAACTCTGGCATACCTATTTTAGCATGTAAGTCTCTGTTGGAGAGGTGAAAAAGGGAAAAACAAACACAGCAGCTTTTCAAGTACCATTTTCAGATGCTGGAAAGGGAATTTTAGGTGGATGATCAGCACCCAGTGCCTGATAGGTGCACACAGAGAATAAAAAGAATGTCACAAGTACCTGAATTGCCTAAAGAGTATTCAATTGATTTCCTTAAGCATTGATGGACTTGGGATCAGGAGCCCAATAGTACTATGATATGTACCTACCCGGGTGCAAACCCAGGTTCTTACAAACACAAACCAAATATGAACAGGATTAGGTCACCATCTTCCCTTCTCTGGACTTTCCTAGTTACAGTCTTGAATAGCAGAGAGCCAAAGCAGTGCATTCTGGGAAAGGAAAGTGTGTAAAGAAATCGGGGGAACAAGAATATAATGTGGTTCTCCTAGGTTCTCCTGAGCTTTTCACAATGCTCTGGAAAGCTTCTCAACCATGCCTACCCATTTTGGATTCTAATTATGCAAATAATTATTACTCATATAAATAACCACCTTGACTGAAATGTAAGCAAATTCCACAATGAAGTGATATTTAAACACCACTGGAATAGCTTGAAAAAAAACAAAGAGGCAACAGGAGATGAGGAAGAGGAAATGTCTCAACCATCTTCAAGTTTGCTGTGCCAAGACAAGGGCTCATTTGGAAACAAAAAATTACAATTCATCCGTAAACATAAATCAAGCTGTGGCAGCTGGTGGGAAGAGATGCAAAAGCATGGAAACGCCATTCACTACACTTTGTGGTTATAAATCAATATTCCTGCTCATGTCCATTGCCTGTTACCTAACGTGACTGTCATATCAGCCACGGAGAGCCCTCATCACCTCTGTAGTTAACTCCAAATCACACAATTCCTTTAGGTTGTTAATTTATAATACTTCTGAGTGGTTGAGGTTGACTTAAGCCACTGCAGTGGAGCAGTAGAGTGTTCATTTCTCCTCCTGCATGCAAATGCAAGTCTTTTTTCTGTCACATACCACTCTTCCAAAAGAAAATGGAAAAAAGGATGGTTTAAGTCCAAGCAGGGAAGTTGGTTTTGAGGCCAAGGCATTAAGGAGGAGGAGAAATCCACATCTTCCTCGTTTACACAATCCAGACACTTCATACCCCAGTATTGAGTGCTGCACCTAAGAGAAGTTTAGAGCAGGAAGGCAGACATTTCCTGGAAGTTTACAAATGGAACAGAACGGTACTATTTGAAAATGCTTTTCCTCAGCTGTAAGAGCTTTAAGTGAGTCAGGACCCAACCCCACACTGATATCTGAACACTGGGTGTCCAACAGTGATTTAGTCAACAGGGCCATGTTCAGAGGCAATGGAGAGCAGCAGGTACCTTCTCAGGGTTAAGAGTCACCTTAGGACAGAATGCAGAACTTGCCATCCAAGGGAGCTTGTTTCTCTCCACAGCACTGCCTGCCATAAGATGGCCAGTTCAGACTAAAAATACCCAGAATCCATCAAAAAATGCAAATATAAATTTTTGGCAGTGGATTTGGAACAAGAGGAAGATTTTCAACGCAATTTCTCATCACTACAGGAGCATGCAGTAGCTTGACTACAACCACAAACATTCAAAAAAAAAAAAAAGGCTTCAGTGATTCACACAGAGAAAAGTCACCCTCTTCTTTGATTTCTCTCTCCCTGAATTTCTCCTGTTAAAGTCCTGGAATATCATCAGTGTCCGCTGCCATTGCCACATGTCAGAACACCTGCTTCTTCAGTGTGTCTCTGCAGGCTTCCTTTTTTTTCCCCCCATTTTTTCCAGGTTTTACACATCTCGGCCTATATCAATGAACCTGTCTCCTCTCTCATTAGCACTACGTGGAAACCTCATGGATGTCTGCTGGAACAGCCTAGCTGGGTATGGTGCTGGCTGCAGGCATACTGGTTTTTGTCAGGTGACTGCAACATCATTATGAAATGACATTAAAAAATTATGTAGAAAATGGAATACATGCAGAAAATCACTGTGACTTCAAAAACAGTCCATCAGATCTTTTACACCATCAGCCAGAGCTGGTCAAAGAAAGAAAGAAAGGCTGTCAGTTGAGCTGTCATAAAAAAAGCAACATAAACAATGAGCTGCCCGTTCCCAAGGCAGACAGTGGGAATGACACGCAAGGAACCATCACAGGCTGGAACAATACACAGCAGCCATTACTCTGTGCTTGTTTTAAAACTGAAAAAGAAATGTGCATGTGTGATGCCCATTAAAATTCACTTGTATCTTCAATACACATTATACTTGGTACATCAAGTTATTTCAATTTTTTTTATTATGACAATTTACATGTCATATTTATATGAAAGAAATGACAGTAGATATTATAACAAAACCATTATGAAAGAAAAGTTACACAATTAGGCCTACAAGCTATAAAATGGCTTCAGGCCCAGCTTATAGACAAAGAGTTCTGACCAGACTGTAGTGAGAGACAACGCTGAACAATTCATTAACAAAAATATTGGCACCAGCCTTAACATTTTTTTTTACTTCATTTACAAGGAATACAGTATTTAAACAGTTGTGTACTGCAAATCTAAAAACATTAGCTGTTATTAAACTGCAGTTAACCCTTTGAGCACTGAGGCCACCATGACTTCCATTTAAAAAAGTTTAAACGCAGCATGTTTTACATGCACGTGGTATTACTGGTGGGAGGGAAAAGACAGTGAAAGCACCACCCGATTTATGTGCAACAAGAATAACACTTCCAGTTTTTTCTATATATCTCCCCCCCTTCCCACACACACAGTGTGTGTCCCCTTGGTCCTTTCCCTTTGATATTGTAGCAAGTCATGATTGAAGAGAGACTGAAGAAAACCAAAGTTCAGGACTCAAGAAACGCAAGGGTTAAACTCTACATAAAGAGCTCAGCTTGTGGAACTTCACTGTGTTAATTCTTTAGAGAAAGAAAATAAAAAATGAGGCCAGCCATGAAGGAGACCATTTTTAAGGAACTCAAGATTTCTTTGCAAACATACAAACAGCACCCAGGAGTAAGACAAAACTGTATTTCATGAAAGTGTATCTTAAAGAGACCTGTCTGGCAGATTTGATCCAGTTCTCACAGAATATTGGAGGGTAACCATTCTGCTGGCAAGGGACCTGTTCTGTGTTACCCAGGACATTGAAAATACCTGATGTTTGTCTAATAGGATCTGTGCACATGTGAGAACCGCTGTGCATAGCGGGAATGGTGACGTTATGCGTTTGAATCGGTCACATCCCTCTCCTGGCTGCAGTGGGAGGACTGTGGAAAATGGGCAGGAACGAGCAGCCGCATTGGCATTGACAACACATCGATTTAATTCAAGTTTGGGGGAGGAGTATCATTTGAATGAATATAGGATAGGAATAAGATACTGTACAAGATTTTAGAGTCCATATAACGGGTACAAAATAGCAAACTAAACAAGGCTTACAGTTTTATGATTTGATTTCCTTTTCTACCACTACCCTGAGTAGCAGATTAATATCTATTGAGGACTTTTAACTGTTCTAACTAACAAACAGTGCACTGATAACTAGGCCTATTGTATGTTTTCGTAGAAGGACTTTATCCCCGTAGAATCATTTAAGTCAAGTTCTGACAGACTAATCTAAGTTCAGTTGTGTGGGACACAGTAAGGGGAACAAATAAGAAAGCAAACCATGCAGACCAACATCCCCAGAGGCAAACATTGTCATAATATTCCATAGACTGATCCTGATTTTTTCCACATCCACATTGCACTGATGGAACATTATCTATTTCTTCAAGGAAGGAGACCTCAAGTATATTTTCCACTTACTTTGAAGGTCAGGATGAGAAAAGGAGGGTAATTGGGATGTTTCTCCTAAATGGAGACCTTCCATTGGAAATACAGTCTTTAAAGGGCAAGTCACAAGTAGTTTTTAGGCCTGTCTTGCAAATGGCATGGGTTTGCATACACATTTTTCTGCTCCACTTCCCTCCATCCATTCCCCATCTCCTTCTGCTATTTGAACAAGCATCCAAACAGCAGGAGCAAGTGACTCCGTCTGCACCTGGGGAACCAGTGAGACCGACTATACACAAAGTGCTGCAAAGTGCACAAAGTAAACCAACTGAACAACAGAGCCTCTCCGTTGTTCAGCCCTTGGTAGCAACCTTTGGGGTTATATGTAGCAATAGTAGATACTTACAGGCACACATGCGCCCTCTAACTGCAGTACTGTCCCCTCTCCTGCTGCTCAGCTCAGGCGTGGGGTGCCAGCATTTACAAAATGATAGTCAAAAACCGAAGTTGTAGGACTTGTTTTTAGTTGCAGTTGAATCTGGAGGCTTTACACCACAGATTCAATTATAAAAACTTACCTACTTTGGAGTGTTCTGTTCTTTCCCCCAGAACCTCTACACAATCTTTTTTTTGTTCTTTTAAGTGTCATACTAAGCAATATACATCTTTTGCACATCTTGTAAGTTAAATTACTCTGAAGTGTTGGGACAATCAATTCCCAAGCACAAGTTTTTGTTGTTAGGAACTATCTCAGTTAGTTACACCTAATCTAAAAGAAGAGCTCAATAAGTGCTGTGACTTTCTGAAATGACTGGTAATCCTCAACACCCCAACTGTGGGGTGTCCAGATTCAGAAATAATTTCCAACTGGTAAATATTTCTGAAGCCAGAGTTCTCTGTTAGATCTCAGATTGGGAACTCAACTGTAAAACATCAAAAATTAGTCACAGAATTTTTCTAACATCAGTATATACCAGAAGGAAAAGGATCATGTCTGTTGGATTTTTTCTACTTTCTGCCTTACAGTGTTTCAAGTGAGATATAGTTCCCAACCCAGCTGTTAGGGAAGGGGAGGAAGAAACTAACAGGAAATGTGGTCTTGATCCTGTAAATCCTTACTTCAGACAATATCCTAAATGCTTCTATATATGTATATATGTTCTAAACACTTAAGGAATTGCAAAATTCTGCTCTTCCACTTCTAGAGTTTCCCCCACCATACTCAACACAATGTTTTTCCCAAAGTTACTGTCTTGGTTGAAGTACTTGATCTTTTATATATATTTATATATATTTAAGGATTTTATATACCCACCAAATCAGAAGCATACATCAAATGTAAATACATAGCTAA